CATGTATAAATATAAATATGTATATATATGTATATATATATACATATATGTATATATATATATATACATATATATATATACATGTATATATATATATACATATACATATACATATATATATACATATATACATATATACACACATATATATATATATACATATACATATATATACATATATATATATATATATATATATATATATATATATATATATATACCATCCTATGATTTTTCTTACTTATATAAAATTATTTTAATACTTGTGATCTTCTTTTCATAATTATCCTCTTATTTTCTAGAGTTTGTCGTGCTATTTGAAAATTGAAATATTAATATTAAAAAGAGATATGAACTTTTCCTTTAGCATTATAAGACTGGATATTTGTCACGACTTTGATAAGTTAATTGATCTATCAATTCTATTTAGTTAGACTACTAATCAAAATACTTAAGGTGAAATTAATAGTAATACACCTATCAGATTCTTATAAGCTAATTTTATATTTGTTCACTTCCGATGTGGAACTAATTGGGATGTTACAATTTCGCTCACTTAAGGGTTTGATAATCTTGTCAATATCCAATATAGTCTAAATGAAATCCTAACTCAGTGCATATGGGTCATAGCCCAATAATAGCTCTATATTAAAATGAATCCTCTAACTCCATCCATAAATAGATATTTTCTACTCATACTCAAGTTCCTTATCATGTCTCAATATTAGATAAACTTTTATATCATTTATCACGATTTGATGTGATAATTAATTATCTGATTTAATAGGATAATTGATCTATCAATTTTATTTGACCTAAATTTAATGATTTTTAAGAAAGCATTTATTCTTCGCACTAATAATTAAATTTTTTTATATTAGTGAAATTAACTTTATAATCAATCGAGCGACATTGATGCTATAAATTTTGGTTGTTAGATAAAGAAGTGGGTCCAAATAATTTATTGTAACACTTTGTTGTGTGATCAGAAAATGTAATATGGGGTGAGTAAAAATAATTAATAACACAAAACGTAATGTTACTATTAGTCCGTAACTTATAGATTATATCAATCATCCGAACCCTAAATACTTTGGATGACTCTTCATGTATAATCACTTTTACTATTTAAATCAAAATCTTATATAAAAAGCTCTACTAATTGCTTTCATGGGACATGCCAACAATATAATTTTGTAGAACTTCTAAAAAAATAAATCATGAAGTTGATTTGATCGAGTCAAACAAATGGTTGAGATGATCGAAACGAATCCGTTGGATGGTTTTCAAAGAAGCATTTATTCTTCTTGTTAGTGAAATCGACTTTATAATCAATTGATGCTACTTTGTTGATTGTTGGGTAAAGATGTGGGTCCAAACACTATGCTAGCATGATCAGAGAATACAACAGAGGGCTAATGAAAACGATCGGAGTGGGCCTCATTCTCATGCAAGTATCCAAACCTCATGTCACTATTAGTCCTACACATATTTATTTCCTATATCGATCGCTCTAGTAACTCATGGTTGATGTGATGATAATTCTTTCGAGTAATGTCTGATAATCTTATAAAATCATTTTTAATAGATTGATAATGCTTGATAAGACTTCTATCAAAACCATCCATCCTCTAACATGATACTTATGATAGACTCAAGCTCGAACCGACACATCGGAGAAAGTACTTGGTTTAACATGTATCAACCCTTTAGTAGTCAATTTTGAGCCACATGCGTTTGTAACCTTAGACGTTCTCTTTGTCCCATCATATTCTATCGTGTCATCGTTAAAAGTAGAATAGAATTAAGAAGATCATATGATTTAGGTGTGAATTCATCTACTATCTCTTATTATTGAGGTGAGGTCTTTTAGGTTAGGAGAGGATTAGATAGTGTCGGCGGATATCTTCTACCGCTACATAACTTGACCCTACTGCTTGTCACGTATCTCATGCATTTATATTTCGATTAGTTGAAAAGATTGCAACCTTTATTGTGATGATAAAACCCATTTAATGCACTCTCTTTCTCCTAAAATAAGTATAAATTATTATTTCTTAATATTTTTTAAAGATTTACTATTGAGTTTTTACTTGATAATCTTTCTCTAATTGGTTTTTACTCAGACATCTCTTTCCATATTAAGACAAAAATTAATTTTTTTTAGATTAATCGATCAACTTGATCTGACCCGATTTGATTCGATCCGACATGATCTTATCCCGACATGATCGGATCTAATGAGTCATCAGTGGGTTCAAACACCACTTCGATTAATCGAGAAGGATAAGCCACTTAGATTAACTAATAATCATCAGCTTAAGCTTCCTATTCCCACAACTGTTCCACATGATCTTTCTTTCTCATCATCATCTGCCTCCATTTCTTCCCTCACAATCTCTGTCACAGTTCACTTACAGATCCAGCTTTGTTCGGAAGACACTCCGCAGCCATCTGCTCTCTTCTTTGCCCATAATTACAGCGCTGGATTCAATTGGTCCTTCCATCTTTGTTTATTGCTGCCACCGCTACTCAAAACCATGGGCTATCATCTCGTTGTCTGATGTGATGAATAACATACAATATCTTCGTTTCGTGAAGTGCCAAAAGATCTGTCATCGATTTGAGAGGTGATGTTAATCATCCGTAGGGTGGCTGTTTCAGATCTTTTAGCAGCCCCAATGATTCGTAGGGTTTATCTTAACACTATATATACACATCCTATGGGGAGAAAAAATTCGTATAGTTTGGCTTAACGTGGATGAATTCTGTCAGCAGAATGATCTTTTGCTCATCATGATATGCCATGCACACATTTCAGTCAAATCAGTGTTGGGTTGTCGTGACTACCCCGGTTGAATCTTATTTTGACCTTTGTACAAGATGCACAGAGAGAGAGACAGAGAGAGAGAGAGATGGCAGTCCGAGCTTGGTCAACAAATGCACTGATGTGCCAAAGACTCTTCTTCTTTACCCTACCCTGTACGCCACTCGAACAGCTCGATATCCATCCCAAGAACGTGGCATATTAATTGCTTGCGTGGGCCTGCATGGAGATGCTGATGTCCTTCCATGGTGCTGTCCTCCATGAACCGAGCTAGCAAAGTTGACACCGTAACCTCCTTTCTCCCACAAATGGTTGATGGAGGGAGACTTGTCGGGCACAGATGATTAAAGGCCACATTGTGTTTACTTTGGGAACGGAGATCAGATGAAGCCATGGTTGGCTTCCGGATTACTCTTGTCGGAATCTGCTCTTCTTGTGCGGTTACATGTGACCATCGAGCCGCGTGCAATCATGGAGTTGGATACTGCATGCTCATCTGAACACAAGTGAACGCGAAGACGTTTAGCAGTCTCCCAACAATTGATACGTCACTATAAGTATCGGCCCCTCTCCAGTCTCTCTTCTCATCTCGACTCGATCCTTCAATTGTAGACTTAATTCTGTAGCCATGGCGGTTTCTGTGGAAAGCTTCCTCAAACTCTGCTTCCTCTTCTGCCTCGTGTCTACTTCCAGTGGGCAGCTGTCGCCTACGTTCTACCTTCAGACGTGCCCAACTCTGCAGACTATCGTGAGCCTGACCATGACGACGACCGGCCTCCTCGATCCGCGGATGGGAGCCTCCCTTCTTCGTCTCTTCTTCCACGACTGCTTCGTAAATGTACTGTTATTCTCTTTGTTTCTTGGTCGAACATTCTATTGACTTGTAGTGCCGAGGAATTGTTCTTGCGGTGCTGATTTCTGCATCATAACTCTGTCTTCTGACATGCTTCAGTTCCGTGTCTCCCTCAGGGCTGCGACGCGTCGGTGCTGCTGGACGACACCGCCACGTTCACTGGGGAGAAGAACGCAGGTCCGAACGCCAACTCCCTGCGCGGCTTCGGCGTCATCGACACCATCAAAGCCGCGGTGGAGTTGGTGTGCCCCGGCACGGTCTCCTGCGCCGACATTCTCGCGTTGGCCGCACGCGACAGCGTGGCTCTGGTTAGTGTCGTTGCCACCTCTCTCCACCTCCTCTGTTCTTACACCGACAACTTCGCCTGCGTATTGGATCGAGGACATTGAGATTGTTCTTCTTCTCATTAGCCGTCCGATCACAGAATGATGATAAACACTAACAGGATTCGTCCAAAGCAATGCGTCCAATCCCCATAAAGTTCTCTGGAGGTTGGCGAGGAAAAACAGAGCCTCGGACAGTACGATTCTTTTGGTGTCGATGGAGTCCAATTAAATCCTATTTGTGTTACACCCAAATTTCAATCATGGAAATCTAAATCTCGCACGAACTGAAATGGATTACCTAATTCTTCGATAGATTTGATTGAGAGAGTCGGTGAGGGAGAGACTCGTGGCCCGAAAATTATGTCTTTGATGTCTTGTAGCTCGGTGGACCATCTTGGACCGTGGCGTTGGGACGTAGGGACGCCACCACCGCCAGCCAAAGCGCGGCCAATAGCAACCTCCCGGGCCCCGGCTCCAGCCTTTCCCAGCTCATCGCCGCGTTCGCCACGAAGGGCTTGAACGCCCGCGACATGACCGCGCTCTCCGGCGCCCACACCATCGGCCAGGCCCGCTGCGTCAACTTCCGCTCCCACATCTACAACGACGCCAACGTCGACGCCGGCTTCGCCTCCCAGCGCCAGCGGAACTGCCCCTCCTCCGGCGGCGACAATAACCTGGCCCCGCTCGACGTCCAGACCGCCAACACCTTCGACAACGCGTACTACCGGAACCTCATCGCCATGCGGGGTCTCCTCCACTCGGATCAGGAGCTCTTCAACAATGGAACGCAGGACGCGCTGGTGCAGCAGTACAGCACCAACGCTGCAGCTTTCGCGGCCGACTTCGCGGCGGCCATGGTGAAGATGGGGAACATCAGCCCGCTGACGGGAAGCAGCGGAGAGATCAGATCGAACTGCAGGAGGGTGAACTGATACACGTCTTGGGTCCCAAAAGGAAGTCGACGAAGTCAAAGAAAGGGGTGGCTGTTTACGTATAGATTCCTAATTGGATTTGTGACAATAAGTCAAAATGTGTATGACGTTGGATTCACGATCGCATGTAGAACGAGAAAGTAATCGGATTTGATTGCTACGTGGTTTCTTGGAGAAGGTCATTATCAACTCTTTGATCTTTTACACAAAATAATATCTGATCAATCTGATATTAAACACCCTGCGGATATGGATTTTCGGAATTCCTCATTGGAATCTCATAATATTTTAAATAGCATTATTATTCATGATCGTGATATAGAGTTACATAATATTAATAGTCAAATAAAACTTTTTTTTAAATTTTAATGATGGATAAAAATATTAAGAATAAAGTATTAAGCATGATACTAAATTACTTCGATGAACTGAGATTATATATATATATATAGATTAATTTTTGAGAAAAAAAATCTTAAAGTTTAATCTTACTTCCACTGAAATTACTATCATTGCACTTTTATCGGACTTAGGGGCATCGCACGTGTGAATACACAAGAAGTCAAGGAAGGCAAGGGAAACCACCACAGGCGCAAATGATCAAAGAAGATTAGAGGATGATCAATGAGACCAACTCATATGTGGAGACATAGGTGACTAAGGAAAGACAAATGACAACTGGGACTAACTAATGTACATGTGAAGGTATAAACACACAAGAGAGGGTAATCAATAGGATAAGCTCATTCGCGAAGACATAAATTATCAGCGGACGATTGTGATCGACAAGGATAGGATAGCCACTGTCTTTTTTGAAAGGAGTATATAACTCTTAAAAAAAAGATATTATCTTAGACTTTTTTAAAGTTAGGAGGAAGAAATTCTAAACTTTGAAGTATTTTTTTAAAATTCATATATATAAAATATAAAATAGAAGATTCTAATTATTTTTAGGTGCATCAAAAGCTAATTTTATATTATCTTATATATTCATGAATTGTTTTTTATAATAAAAGAGACATGCTTGACCTCAATAAAAAATACATTCGGATTTGACGTCACTATTGAGGATAGAAATCTAAAGTATTTTCCAAGATATTTCCGCTTGTTTTCTTGGCCTTTGCAATCGGCTGAGCGTGTCAGTTCACCTTCCTGCAATCCAACCTAATCTCCCCGTTGGATCCCGTGAGAGGTTTGATGTTTCCCATCTTCACCATGGCCGCTGCAAAGTCGCTAAAAAAGGTGGAACCGTCTGTGCTGTACTGCTGCACCAGCGAGTCCTGCGACCCGTTGTTGAAGAGCTCCTGGTCCGAGTGGAGGAGGCCCTGGAAACCCACCAGGTTCTGGTAGTACGCGTTGTCGAACTCGGTGGCCGTCTGGAGGTCGAGCGGAGCTAGGCTGTTGTCGCCGCCGGAGGACGGGCAGTTCTGTTGGCGCTGCGACGCGAAGTCGGCGTCGATGTTGGTGTCGTCGTAGATGTGGGAGCGGAAGTTGACGCAGCGGGCCTGGCCGATGGTGTGGGCGCCGGAGAGCGCGGTCATGTCGCGGGCGCTCAACCCCTGGGCGGAGAAGGCGGAGATGAGCTGGGATAGACTGGAGGCGGGGCTCGGGAGGTTGCTGTTAGCCGCGCTTTGGCTGGCTGTGGTGGCGTCCCTGCGTCCCAGTGGCACTGTCCAAGATGGGCCACCAAGCTGCAGCAAAACACCACATCGGTCAACATAAGTCCATCTCCTACTTCCCAAGTCAACGATTCTCTCAAACACTAACGGGAAGCCTCCTGGCTTGGCCGACACCAGCGAGTCAAACACATGGTGGGCGGAAGGTCTACTAACCAGCACAACGCCATCACGAGCGGCAAGCGCGAGGATGTCAGCACACGAGACCGTGCCGGGACACACCAGCTCGACGGCGGACTTTATGTCGTCGATCACATCGAAGCCACGCAGGGAGTTAGCGTTTGGACCTGCGTTCTTCTCACCGGTGAACGTCGCCGTGTCATCCAGTAGGACCGATGCGTCGCAGCCCTGAGAAGACATGGAATTAGGCTTCCGTCAGCGGCTTAGAAGTGAGAGGGGAGTATAAGATATCTATAGATAAAAGATAAAGGGACTATGCTAATATAAATATCATCACACACATTTACGAAGCAGTCATGGAAGAAGAGCCGAAGAATGGATGCGCCCATCCTCGGCTCCTGAAGGACGGCCTGCGTCATTCTCAGAAGCACGACGACCCGCAGAGTTGGACATGTCAGGCTGTAAAACGAAGGCGACAGCTGCGCCATGGAAGCCGAAGCAAGCAAGAAGAGGAAACAAAGTGTGAGGCAGCTTCTCCAGGAGGTGGCCATGGTCGAACAAGTCTACTACGCTCGAGTTTACCTGAGGAGCGAGCATTAATATGGCCTGATACTTATAGTGCTCGTCCCTCATAAGTGTCCCCCGCGTAATTATTGCGATCAGGAAAAGAGAAAAAGAACTTATCCACTCCATTAACTTGACTGCCACATTTAACTGCAAAAGAAAAGATGCTAACTTAAAGTGAGCTATAAGCCATCCATTCCTTTCTTTTGCTCACCGCTCCATCGTAAAACCAATGCGTAGACTTTAATCGTGTTGGCGCGCCTGTGGAGTCCTCTCCTGCCACCAACCAGTCGTTGGAAGGAAGAGGTTAGGGTGTCATTGTCGCTCCCTTGGTTGCTTCAAGCGACGCACACCACCGAATACCACATCGGTATCATCACGTAGGACCGTGCGATTGCTACATGCATTGACGAACGGCGCAAAGATCCGAAGGAAATGGCCTTCACTTGCGGAAGATGCAGCTGCCAGAAGAACAAGTAGTGCCAAGTTGGAGCTGCAAGTGCAGCACGACGAGCTGCGACCGCGGTGTGCACGACGACCTCGTGGTCGACCAAGGCAGTGACGTCTAATCTGCCAGGCTTGCAAGGTCTGCTACTAAGCCGATCTTTCAAAGAGATCAAATTAGTGTTCAAGTTGAGTAGGCAAGACAAAGCCGTCCATCACGGACTTGGATTGACTGAAACGTTTGCTTTATCTTAATGATCAACACAAGTTTATTTGAAGATATGTCATGATCTTTTTGGATGGAATATGAGCAGACTATATTTGACATTACTCATGACCAAGTAGCGAAAAGATTACCTCAGCACCATCTACATGATATGAATGAATACATGACAAGAATCAAGGCTGGTCTTTAATTTTTTACATGACCCAACTAATCAATAAGCCAACCTAATCCTTGTTCTTTCTTGTGTTTGTTTCCTATCTGAACTAAATTGACCATGCACAGAGAGAGAGAGAGAGATAGATAGAGAGAGAGAGAGAGAGAGAGAGAGAGAGAGAGAGAGAGAGAGAGAGAGAGAGAGAGAGAGAGAGAGAGAGAGAGAG